ATATATATGTGTGTGTGTGTGTGTGTGTGTGTGTGTGTGTGTATGCGTGTGCGTGTGCGTGTGCGTGTGCGTGTGCGAGACTGAGAAGCTAACGATAGTTGATAATATATAAAAAGAACTACCGGAGAGTACATTTTGTATGTTCTTAGCGAAACGCGTTCGTGCATACATGCACGAGTGTATTTAATGTACGCGAGCACGAAATTAAAAGATTCTTTCATGAAATTTTGAAAACAGATTTTTTAGAAAGATAACAAGGTAAAACTACTAAGAAATAACGAGAAAAATAACATTTTGTGGAATAGTGTGAATGTTACTGGTATACAAGTTCCTCTGACAGTAAAAGTAACGGGGAGAGTGATCATATCGGTCTGCCCCTCCTTTGTCGCCCTCGCAACTCGTATATATTGAATTACCCAAAGACTTACCTCATTCATGTTACATATTTCTTAATATTAGTACAGCTCTTTGAACGGAACATACATGACTTTTCCTATTACCAAAGTCTAAAGGGTAAAGTTTTTTTTTTCATTTTTTTTTTTGCCGCGGAGATCGAGCATATTTCATGGAAATAAGAGCCTAGAAATTGAGATGATTATCGTAATTATTCATTAACGGAGTTGTTAAAATTTCGTGTGAATTTGCGTGTAAAAGTTCTAGTTGATATGAAATATGTCGGTTGTTTAGTACTCAGGAAAGTGAAACAATGCTTATTACTACTCTTGCTATTTTGATTATCGTCACAATTACTTTTATTATCATTATTATTATTATTATTATTATTATTATTATTACTATTATTATTATTACTATTATTATTATTATCATCATTAATATTATTATTATTAGTTCCGATAAATATTTTGTAAATATAGGCAAGAAAAGATATGCAAGAATATTTAGTTGATTTGCTAGTTAATTAGTAGGAAATGAGTCGCTTGTTGTTGTAAGCCATAGCTCTAAATTGTGTGGCTCAACACATTATTATTATTATTATTATTATTATTATTATTATTATTATTATTATAAAATTATTATATTATCTTTGTTCTATGAAAACTTATTAAGAATAGTCGTCCAATAATTGTTTTTTATATTTATTTTTGTTGTTATATTGTCATCGCCATAATTATCTCTTGTACAGAAAAACGAAAATCAAAAATGATGACGCAACGACCGACAGTAGAATTAGCGAGATCTGAGAAGACTTGTTAAATCGTGAATAAGTAAAAAATACATGCTCAATGTTTTAAGGAATTTTTTGTTTTTGCTTATTTTACGTTACTTAACCATTTATGATTTCCTTTATTTTATTATCCTTATCTATATTTAGTTACTTTTTAAATTTCACAACCAATATCATTCGATCATGTGTATCATTCGAATAGTGTAAAATCTACTACCGTTATAAGAAATAATTCAAACTTCATTAAATTTGTCAAAAATATGATTAATAAAAATTCAAAATTTAACACTTTTTAAAACGACTCATATTAAAATGATTTTTTTATAAGCGCACGCGATTTTTAATAGCAAACTTGAATGAAAGATTTAAAATTTGCACAATTATAAATATTATTTGATTATTGAATTTTTGCTTCAAACCATTTATTCATTATTAAATCGTAAAGACAATGATATAAATGTGCTTTTATATTAATGAATAATAAATCATTATAGTCTTAAATAAGAATTAATTTGTTACCTAATTAGCTGTCACGGACGACGCCAATCCGAAGAAAGCAAATTACGAATTTCGAATAATGCGATATGGAGTCAAAATCAGAAAAAAGAGATCTCACGGTTCGTCTAATGTAAAGGGGGTCCGACGCTAGAGGACGCACGACACAAAAGACAAAATGTCGTTCGTACGAAGTTGCCCGACCGTAAGAATCGCCTTGGCTTCGCACGACAGGACGTAGCAGCATTCGCGGACCAGATTTCGCAAGCACCTCATCCCCCACCCTCGCCCAATGTCCCACGTCCCCTTTAACAGAGGCCGACAACCCCAGTCTCTCCGAGCCCCTGATTTATATGGACGGCTGTAATGCCATGCAAATGCTTCAAAGTCGAGGTCAGGCCCACCATTGTACGGAGGACGCAACCTCGGCCTACGGACCCGTTAACAATGGGTTGCGCATCTCGCGCTGGACGTGAGCCGCAAATTGCTCTCCTTTTCACTCGTCTTCGTTGCCAGTGACCGATGCTCCTTGTACAAATTTCAAGTCCGAGGAGGCATCCGTCGACTCGTCGCGGTTAATTTACACGTGGGTTCTTTCTCGATCTTAGCGAAACTCTGTCTCGGATCTTGAAAGGATATGGGCAATGGCTAGTGCTCAAGTCTTTGTCGTAACGTTAAATTTAAAATATTCGGATCTATTTGAAATTTACCGAACATTGCCCGACGTGATTCAACGATGTTGCGACCACCGTTTATACTACAATGCGTAGCATTTAAATTGTTTTGCGATACTTTACTAGACAATTTCACATATTCGGCAAATTAAAAATAAACACCATGTGAATTATTGCTTAAAAATTGATATTTAACCATCGAGGTTTTTATACGTTATTGGAACTATGTTTCCTTAACATTACTAAAGAAATTGGAATTCTTGTCTTTACGATTACTTTAAAGAAAAAGTATCGAAGGAAATGTAAAATAAACTCTTAAGGCGCGACTGACGAAAATCAGAAAGAATCTTATTCATTCGATATCCTTATGCATTGCTTCTTATGATTGAATTAAACCTACATTTATACTTGATTTTCTAACAGATAACTGATAGATATTATTTGAAAATCCTATAGACTCTAATGGATTGTATTTTGTACATATAAAACAAAACTATAGTATCGAAAGGTTCTGTTACATCTCTTCTTATATTTTCCCTTTTGTGTAGTAGCGCAACTCACAAACATCCCATTTTATCGAATAATTACGCATTTCCGTTCTTTTCTCCCGATTTACAGTGGAATGGACGCGAGGAAATTCGATTTTTTTTTTCTACCCTGCACGAGGAAATTGCGATAAACACGAAAGCACAGATATAGTTTGAAAATTGACCGTTCAGTCGATATTTAGATATTATAGAGGCTGCTTGGAACAATAGAAAGGAAAAGTATAGCAGAAGGATAGCGAAGGATGCTAGAGAAAATCCGTACAATGGCGTAATACTAAGCGCGCTCTCCTTTCCCCCTCTTTGTTACACTTTCTATTTTCAAAATTTCTCTGTTTCCCTGTATTTTGGGATAATTTTTACAACTTTCACTCCGCACTTGGTTCTTTGATTTTACAATTATGTTTGTCGACGAATTTTGTTGTTAAACATTTGACCTTAATGACGTTTGTCAAAATAATTTTGTCATTTTTATTTAAAAAAGAAATGTAAGATTGTATTTCTTAATATATAGTTTCGAATACAAAAGCTTTTTTATTCTGCATTCTCATCTAATTGATTTAACTTGATGTTAAAAAGTCATAACAATAAATTCAAATTTCTGTTGAATAAAAATGTAAGTGTATTGTAAAAAATAGTTTTTTGAAGGTTTTAGTTACATTCTCATATCAATTTATAAAATTAATACACTTTTCTCTATGGTTGAATGAAATTTAAAAAGTGAAAAGAAATATTAAGTCTTATAAATTGATATGAGAATGTAACTAAAACCTTCAAAAAACTATTTTTGTGCAGAAAAGATATTTCACAAGCTTAACGTGAAAAGACTCATTCAAAAACGAATCTTTCTCATGATCTCCTCTCATTTTCACAACATTTTCCACCACTAACACATATGCTCACAGTTAGTTTTTTTTATAGCTTTTCTCGCTATCCGTCGCGTTGGTTTACATTTTTCTTCGTGCTCCATCAGGCTCGATTAAAATCTATTCTTTTTTTCTTCGGCTGATGATCCTTAAGCCCTCTGCGCGCAAAAACACGGAAGCGCAAGCAGGAGAGAAAACCTCTTCGAGTGGCGGAGAAACTCGAGAAAATGAAGAAAAATAGTAATAGTGGAGAGAGAGAGAGAGAGAGAGAGAGAGAGAGAGAGAGAGAGAGAGTAAAGGCGGGCGACGGGAGAAAAAGAAGAAAGGGAAGAACGATGTTCGCCCGCGGGACGCTTCATTTATTCCTTCTATACACGTACTGAACGGAGATACAGTGTTTATCCTGTAGTTACTGATCCTCAACACGGTTAGAGCAAATTATATGGAGAGATATTGCATCTATCTTTATCCTTCATGCTTGTGTTTGTGCGCTCGCATTTCTTCGTCCGTCTGCATTCTTTTGTTTGACATGGGGATTGCTTGCGACTGCAGCATCCTCGTTCTTTTTTTCCTCTATCCGAGGAAAAAGACGTCCATTAAAAAATCTTTAGTCCTTGGAATAATATGGTGCATCCTTGCTATCAAACTCTATTCGTTTTGACAATGAATGAATGAGGAGATCTCGAGGATTTTTCCAAGAGGTTTTGTTTACATACAGCAAACGGAGAAAAATTATGGCCACACACACAAAGATTCTAGGTGGTCCGAGCGGTATTTAAGAATTAAATGCACTGGAATAATTCAATTTAAACAAATTAGTAGACCGCGAAAGATTGAAAATGATTTGTTGTTTTAGAAAGTGTT